GGCAATGTGTTAATGGTGAATATATATCAAGAGCGTGTGCTCTTGGTACTGGCTTCAATCCATCTATTGGAGTTTGTGATCATCTCTCTAATTTACCCAGCTGTAAGCCAGACAGCAGTAATGGTAAGTTTTTTTCTACACGGATGTTTAGAAACGATGTCTGTTCTGGTAGATATATGGACACAGCTTTATGGAACAACAATCACTGGTTAAAGTTTTATGCAACGTTTCGACGTGTTTCCCCTGTCGTCCTCAGGCACATAATGACAATAATAAAGCTGTGTCTATATATCGTACTCACAATTGCTAAATGCCATTCAAAGACTTTGTTCTGGTAGATATTGTCAAGACCTTTTGTTTCTGCTACTGGTTTTAATCCAACTATTGGAAATTGTAACCAACCTCTACGGATTCATGACACGGGGGTTCAGAAACAATGTCTGAGATCTCATCAACATGCAAATGGAAACCATCTTCTCCAATTTGGATTATACAAAGAGTCTTCACTTCCCAAATCAACGTTGACGTATTTGACTTAATTCAAGGGAAATAACTCAAAATTGAAGTCGCCCTAGACCAATATACATATGGATACCATGTTTCATCAAAATTGCATCTTAACTTTAACTTTAAGTCAAGGGCAATAACACAAATAAAAGCTGTGGCCTCACAAGACGGACAAGAGTGACGGCGGTGACAGTATACATCATTATAATGTGGACGTATAAAATTCAATCTTAAAAGCGAAAGTTTGAGATTTCTGTGTAGAAAGGGATGAGAACTTGTGTCTATTCTATTCTGTATTTATTAGTTCAAAATCCGTCGCTAATATTCATGTTAAAAGTTATTTATAATATGGTATCTTGCAGCTTGTACTGAGACTGAACTTGTAGAAGATCCTGATAATTGTACACGATACAGACAATGTGTTAATGGTGAATATATATCAAGAGCGTGTGCTCTTGGTACTGGCTTCAATCCATCTATTGGAGTTTGTGATCATCTCTCTAATTTACCCAGCTGTAAGCCAGACAGCAGTAATGGTAAGTTTTTTTCTACACGGATGTTTAGAAACGATGTCTGTTCTGGTAGATATATGGACACAGCTTTATGGAACAACAATCACTGGTTAAAGTTTTATGCAACGTTTCGACGTGTTTCCCCTGTCGTCCTCAGGCACATAATGACAATAATAAAGCTGTGTCTATATATCGTACTCACAATTGCTAAATGCCATTCAAAGACTTTGTTCTGGTAGATATTGTCAAGACCTTTTGTTTCTGCTACTGGTTTTAATCCAACTATTGGAAATTGTAACCAACCTCTACGGATTCATGACACGGGGGTTCAGAAACAATGTCTGAGATCTCATCAACATGCAAATGGAAACCATCTTCTCCAATTTGGATCATACAAAGAGTCTTCACTTCCCAAATCAACGTTGACGTATTTGACTTAATTCAAGGGAAATAACTCAAAATTGAAGTCGCCCTAGACCAATATACATATGGATACCATGTTTCATCAAAATTGCATCTTAACTTTAACTTTAAGTCAAGGGCAATAACACAAATAAAAGCTGTGGCCTCACAAGACGGACAAGAGTGACGGCGGTGACAGTATACATCATTATAATGTGGACGTATAAAATTCAATCTTAAAAGCGAAAGTTTGAGATTTCTGTGTAGAAAGGGATGAGAACTTGTGTCTATTCTATTCTGTATTTATTAGTTCAAAATCCGTCGCTAATATTCATGTTAAAAGTTATTTATAATATGGTATCTTGCAGCTTGTACTGGGCCTGGACTTGTAGAAGATCCTGATAATTGTACACGATACAGACAATGTGTTAATGGTGAATATGTGTCAAGACCATGTGCTCCTGGTACTGGTTTCAGTCAACCTGGTGAATATTGTGACCATCTCTCTAATTTACCCAACTGTAATCCACACAGTAGTAACGGTAAGTTTATTCTACAGATTCGTGACACGAAGATTTAGAAACGATGGCTTCTCTGGGTTAAATACAACAATCTTAATCTCAAAAGTCCAATTTGGGTAGATATTTTTAAATTTGAATTTGCATTTGAAGATGAATTTGAGCTAACTTTGTATTTCAAAGAAATATTTTGATTTTAGCATACAAATAAAGAGATAAGAATTTCGAATTAAGAAATAACACCGAAGATCATTGAATAAAAAGCCATTTCGGCTTCCGTACTGCTTGAACTATATCTCGTTGATCCTTGTTGCATCGCCATTAGACAATGTCAAATTCTGCTTCCATGATATAAAATATTTGAAGAAAATACAAATGGCCTATTACAATAGTTCGCTTCAACCTTCGAGACCATAAGAATCAATCCACACCCAGCCATCGCGATAGTTTACGGATAACTTGAGGATTTATCTTTCCACAAATGTTATTGTATGTTGCAGCTTGTACTGAGACTGAACTTGTAGAAGATCCTGATAATTGTACACGATACAGAAAATGTGTTAATGGTGAATATATATCAAGATCCTGTTCTCCTGGTACTGGTTTCAATCAATCTGGTGGATATTGTGTTTATCTGTCTAGTTTACCCAACTGTAAACCTTAATGGATGTTAAGCAAGCATTTAAAAAATAATATATTGCAAAATAAAAGTATTTCAACTAAGGTCGGAATTGGTTGTTTTTTTAACGATGATATACGGGTCTACGAGAGGCGTTAAATTAAATAGAGATTGTACCGCAACGACAGGACACAGAGATATACGTGTTGGGCGGAAAACAAACATCATCCCCGCACCCTCCCCCTTTCACACATTCAATTGTTTTATCATTTTACATTCTGAAAGAATGGCCTGTGGGTTTCAAACTTCGGCATTTCCGGTAATTACTAACCGTTCAGCAATCTAATTTTCAGACTATCGGCTTTTAACTTCTGACACTATATCGCATGGATTGAAAATAACAATGGCGGGCTTCATTTATTACAATGACGTTGTTAACATGTGAGAGGCGTATCAATACATAACAATATTAATAACTATATAATCTTAAGTGATCAGTATACCGTAGTCTCTCGTAAATTACTCTCGTACACGTCCCCCCCCCCCCCCTCCCCCTCCCTCTGCTCCAGAAAAAGCTTTGAATAACTTCTAGTTGAGTTCGCACTATGGCAAATAGACTTAATTTGTAATAACCAGAAGTTATCCAGAGAGAAAAATCTAAGGTGGATTTCGTCTGGATACGATCCTAGACCCCGTCCCACAAAAATATCTTACGATAAATTTGTCGTAAATATGGTATTTCACAATGTAAAATTCAACACTTACGACAAGTTCTTATCTTAAGATTTTTTGTGGAACGGGCTAAAATGATTTGCAATGCAAAACCAAACAAGAAGTTATCCGGATAAAAATATCACATGAGGGGAAATTAGAATGGAAATAATGGCATATCACAAGGAAGGGATTAATAAAGTACACGAATTTGCACTAAATCAATTCATTTTTTCTGAAATGTTCTTTCAGACGCTCTATGAGAGTCTTGCGACTATTACACCTGTGTAGAATAGCCGGAGTTTGAGTTCAGCCTCGGCAGTTGTTCCCCCATTGCGTCAGTCTGCCCCCTGTTTGTGTCCCCTATCTCGGAAGGCTGGCGCCGCCACTAATTAGTTTTCAATCAAATTGTGTATTGATGAAATCCCTGTCAAATCAGATTGATACTGTAATAAAAGCTAGACTTTCCTACACTTTGCATGCCCATACAAAGTTTCATGCAAATTGAAAGAAAGGTCTAGCCTCTGACTGAATTTTTGTTTGAGCTCGTCTTTACGACCATTGGAACTAGAAATTAATACTTGACGAAATTGGGATATAATCGTTATAATGATGTGTGCAAAATATATTTTCAAATTTAAATAAAATAATCTCTTTTGTAGATTCAACAATGTGACGTTTGTTCAAGCATCTGAATCATAGACGTAAGAGCTCAAAATTATTTATAGGTAAGAGGACTTCCGACCATTTTTTTCTTCCATAATGTCAATTTTTTACGGCTGAAATTCATATACCGTGAATGAGATTCTAGTAACTGCAATTCATTTGACCCAATTCCTAATGGAACTCCATGAATGAATTTATAGTCAAAGGCCATATTGTTCATTCCAACAGTAAAGAAAAAGCATGATTACATTCTTTAATATTTGATTTTTATTGACTGCCTGCTGTACACTCTTCATGGATTACAGCTGGGTAAATTATAGAGATAGTCACAATTTCCATTAGATGGATTGAAACCAGTACCAGGAGGACAAGATCTTGTTATAAATTCACCATTAACACATTCTCTGTATCTTGTACAATCATCAGGATCTTCTTCCAATCCAGGTCCGGTACATTCTGAAACATACAAATTTATAAATATCTACCCAACTTGGGCTTTTGCCATTACGTTTGCTGTATTTAACCCAGAGAAGACATTGTTTCTAAACCTCCGTGTCCTGAATCTGTAAATTAAATTAGAAAGTTGGTCGCAATATTCAAGAGGTGGATTAAACCCAGTACCAGAAACAAAAGGTCTTGGTACATATCTACCAGAACAGACATCGTTTCTGAACCTTCGTGTCATAAATCTGTGAAATAAACTTACCGTTACTACTGTCTGGATTACAGCTAGGTAAATTAGAGATCTGATCGCAATCTCCAAGAGATTGACTGAAACCAGTACCAGGAGCACAGGATCGTGATACATATTCACCATTAACACATTCTCTGTATCTTGTACAATCATCAGGATCTTCTTCCAATCCAGGTCCGGTACATTCTGCAACATACACATTTATAAATATCTACCAACTTGTTCTTTTGCGATTACGATTCCTGTACTGAATTCAGAGAAGACATTGAACCTCATCAATCTGTAAAATATACTTACTGTTACTACTGTCTGGATTACAGCTGGGTAAATTAGAGAGCTGATCGCAATCCCCAAGAGATTGACTAAAACCAGTACCAGGAGCACAGGATCGTGATACATATTCACCATTAACACATTCTCTGTATCGTGTACAATCATCAGGATCTTCTTCCAATCCATTTCCGGTACATTCTGAAACATACAAATTTATAAATATCTACCCAACTTGTTCTTTTGCGATTACGATCGACTTACTAAAACCAGAACATCCATCGTTTCTAAATCTTCGTGTCACGAATCTGTAGAATAAACTTACCTTTACCACTGTCTGGATTACAGTTGGGTAAATTATAGAGATGGTCACAATATCCACCAGATTGACTGAAACCAGTACCAAGAGCACAAGATCTTGACACATATTCACCATTAACACATTGTTTGTATCGTGTACAATCATCAGGATCTTCTACAAGTTCTGATTCATTACAAGCTGCAAAATAAAGACTTATAAATAACTTTTAACATGTAGAACTATAAGTCCTTAATGATTGCCTCTGTTTGTATCGAACCAGCCTTCGTCTTCCTTAACACTCTGTGTGGCTGGCTGTGGATCGAAGTATCCTCTCGAAGGTTGGAACAAATTATTTAACAAGGATGCTTGTAATTACTGCAAATAGACTAGGTCTAACACGCGCCATTTTTATTTGCTGGTCCTCATTCTTATATACATTGGCTTCAGTATCTACTTTGAAACCGAGAATTTAACGTGTAATATATCCCTCGAAGAGAATTTTGCCCATTTTATACGATAATGCAACATGGATTAACAAGGGATAGTTCAGTGTCTAAAGCTAAACCAATATAATCGCAAAACCGCTTAAACATAAACAAATTCACTGCCGATGATGTTGTTTAGATGTTGGATTTTCTAATTGACAACATTTTTGTTGTATTTGGCGGCGACATTTATCAGGTATCCCCATGGGCACCAACTGTGCGCCTCTTCTTGCTGATATAATTCTTATAAATACGAAGCAGAGTGCATGAAGAAAATTACGCATCCTATTTAGATCTGCGTCTTGAATATTCCAAAAATCAGAGACAGTGTAAAATTATATGCTAACCTAAGTGTTATCAATTTGATATTTCAATCATTATTTCTCCTTTTAAGTGCAGCAGTATTCCGCATTATCTAGCTTATGAAGAATATGTGTTTCAATTGGTTCGAGCATGTTCTTTCTACGCTGATTTATAAGCAACAACTACAGGGGTATTTACCTAATCAAATAAAAACTTCCCTTAATAAATTTTACAACCGTCATCATGAACTAATTGAAAAATATAAAATATCTATTTCTACTATCTTCGAAGATGTGTTTGTTTAACGACCAAGTTTAAACTTTCATCACAATAATAGTTGCCACCAGATGATGCTATAATTTTGCATAACACCTGTTTTTGTTTTTGTTCGTCGATCAAGTTGTCAGGTTGCTATTTCTTTTGTTGGTGCGTTCCTATTTGTAGTGTTGTTGTGTATGTTGAGCAGCTATGACGGATGTGGCTCCAAGCAGGGTATGCTTACTTTTCTAGACAACTGATACCACTTTTAATTGTGAAATACTACTCGCTTATGATTGATAACTTACTCATATGAAAAGTTCACCAAAATATTGTTTTGAATTTCGGGTTTCGTTTAGCGATTTGGAATCAACCATATTATTATTTATCCCTGTCCAAATTATCGAGGAAATTTACCAAACGCGAAAACTTATCATCCCAACGTAAATATAGCAACAGATGTTTTTCTTTCTTTCTTATAACAATAAAACTATTAATTGTTAACAAAGTCTTATTAATATTTGCGTATTCTAGATCATCCATCGAGTTACCCTAAATCTTATCGTAAAGGGATATTGACAGCAACCAGGTCGTATATATTATACGAGGTCTAACTGAAATGTTTTAAGCCTAACTGTGAAAGACCTGTGAAAAATCTGTACTAAGTATACTCAGTTACGGTTACATTTATTCATCTACCCAGGCCGATAAGGTCAACAGTAACACGATAATGCAGGTAATGTACTAAAAAAAGCAGAAATGCAACAACTTTATCCGGAAAATGTAAGCTCTGTTTGAATACAGGCTCCTGGGTGAACTTCTTGGTGGCAAAAGTTTGAATGAAACAAAGTGTTGATATGCGAGTTATTCTATGAATGGATTGTGAGTGATTGCCATGCAGTGATGAAGCTAGCTTTCTTACGATTTTGACGAAATTCGATAATCATGATTTCTCGATGCACTGTTTGAAATTTCCTGCCTTAAATTTACCCAAAATACTTCAAATTAGCTAACGTTTTGAGAAACGGTATACATTTTCATGTTTGTGAGTTCTCAATAAAATGACAAAATCAAATCCTACCTTTAATTGCCAATACTGCAAAGTTGAGAAGAAAAGCGGTGACAAACATCATTTTGCAGAGTTCACTATTCATCTTGAGGAAATAATAGGGACACACGATAGCAGTGCACATTTTATACATTTATTTTTGTAACATCTGCAGAAGAATCAATGTTCATGTATAAAATCGAAATTAAAAGGGTACTACCTCTTAGAATCAACATAATTCTTGGCCAATATGAAAATATATACATCAGTTGACCTACCTTGTGCCATAAAGAATCATTGTATAATTCGTCAGCCCATTTATTTCTATTCTAGAAACGGTGTAAACATTTAAGACGCCATTACTAAAGCAGAAGTTATCAGAGTAACGTCGCTTCAGAAGCGATTTGCTCGTTTACTGTATATCGATTCGATTAGATGCTAGGATAAATGCATTGATTACCTTGATTGATTTTGATTTTATACAGGTTGATTGTTATTTTTAGACGTCTTAGGATAAAGAAGATTTTGATTACCTAGGCGCTATTTTCGCCTTTTTCGGCTAACAGAATTTTTTCAAACTCAAACTTTACTTCTGTTGCCACTCTTTCAAAAATAAATAAATGTCAAATGCAGGTTATTTAACCAATGATCACAATCAAACTGTAGCTGTAGGTCGAATGTTTGCAGAGGTAGAATTCTTTTAAATTGATTGTTTTATTTTCAAAGGGATTGTAAAAAGGTTTTCTAGCCTTTTATGTGTATCGGGGACAGCTTTGATTCCCTTTTGGGACATTTCAATTCTTCGTCCAATGCCTTAGTTTTTGCAATTCTAGAAAGAGTTAACCGGAAATGACTCAGCTCCCGCAGGATGATTTGTAACCATTATGCCACCAAACCACAATAGCATAATAATTTTATCTCCCGTTACAAGATGGGGGCATTTCTAACTAAGAATTGTCGACTCATTCACATTCTGCTTAGTCGTTGCCTTGTGCAAATCAGATGGGCTATATATCATTATTTATGATAAAATGACTGGTTGTGAATACAGTGAGGCGAACATTTGGTAAATCAAATCAGTCCAGAGAGAGAGAGAGACAGAGACAGCGACAGTGAGGCGAACATTTGATAAATCAAATCAGTCCAGAGAGAGACAGGGACAGCGCCAGTGAGTCAAACATTTGGTAAATCAAGTCAGTCTAGAGAGAGATAACAGAGAGAGAGAGAGAGACAGAGAGAGACAGAGAGAGACAGAGAGTTGATATGTATCGGTACCATTCTGGGCGCATCATGCTGGGAAATTCTACATAATATAATGACTTAATTGTGTATGAAACGTTGCAAACTGTTTTCTGCTAATTATGTAAAAATCGTTATGTTTTTGTTTCAATTTAGATTCAAAGATAAATCAATCTTGTCTGTGATCTCACTAGTATGTAAATATACACCCGATTCGCCTATAATGAGATGATATTATCAAGAAGTTGTCTTTCCGCCCAGAGGTAGCTTATATGCTACTAACAGCTAACAAAGGGTTAATGCGTTCATAATAATCTACTGTTCGCAGCAGCTAACAAACGCTAATAATAATAAGCAAACTAAGGTTGAAAATATTCTTAAGTTCTTGGTTATATCAAAAACTCTCTTGCCTTATCGGGGCTACCAATACAAGTACCTAGATACTCCAGGCTATAATGTCTGCAGTACTACCTCATTGCTATCGAGATGTGGGTAGTGCAGACTATGATTATAAGGTCACTTATAGTACCGGCCTTTTGTTACTGGGTAACTGGTAGTATTAGGTTATTGCTACTGGGCCATTGATAGTACCGAATTTTTGTTACTTGATCTCTGATAGTAACTGGATACTAAGTCACTGATAGTTTGAGAGTATTGTTACTAATCCCCTGGTTTTACCCTTGGCCCTTTTGTTAGTGGATCTCTGGTAATACCTGGGTAATGTTATTGGGCCATTGATAGTATCTGGGTATTGTTACCTGGCTACTGATAGCACCAGGGTATTGTTACATGGCTACTGATAATACCAGGGTATTGTTACTTGGCTACTGATAGTTCCAGGGTATTGCTACTTGGCTACTGATAGTACCAGGTTATTGTCACTTGGCCATTGATAGTTCTAGGGTATTTTTACTGGGCTACTGATAGTTCCAGGTATTGTTACTTGGCTACTGATAGTACCAGGGTATTGTTACTTGGCTACTGATAGTACCAGAGTATTGTTACTTGGCTACTGCTAGTTCCAGGGTATTGTCACTTGGCTACTTATAGTACCAGGGCATTTTTACTTGACTACTGATAGTATCAGGGTATTGTTACTTGGCTACTGATAATTCCAGAAAAAATAAGACCTCTTAACTTGGAACATTCCGCATCTCTGCAGGTGCGGGGGTTTTTAACCTATTTGAATACCTCGGACCCGCCAAACTCGTAAAGATGGGTGTTTTTGTAGTTCATTTATACCACCATTATCCCCTACATCATGTATGCCACGTCTGCAGATCCATAAAAATTTATTTTTAACGAAACTAGTTTTCATTTCTGTCTCTTCACAAATGACATCTGTCCAAATATCTATCAGAGGTTAGATTAGAGACAGGTGTTTCGGTCTAGGCCACCTGTAATGTCATGGTATTATAAATGGTCTACTGGTAACACTGGTAGTACCCGAGTTTTGTTACTGGACTACTGATGGTACCAGGCTGTTGATATTGGGTCATTGGTTTCAGCCTCTGATAGCTATTTGACAGATGTCAGGTGGTCTACTCCATCAATATATATATTCCATAATATGTTGGTAATAATCTGACTTGCCACTGTTAGTACCCGGTTGTTGGGACAAGAATACCTGTACTACCAGGTTATTGTTACTGGGCAACTAGTTTCACCAACTAGTGCCAGAGTGATAGTACCTGACTACTCTTACTAGACCAGGCTATTGTCACAGGGCACTTAGTTTTACAAGGATACTGTTACCGAATCTCAGATAGTACGGGGGCTTTGTTACTTGGTCATTGTTTTTTTTTTACCAGGCTGTTGTATCTAGACCTCTGGTAGTAGGCTCTACCTGGATATTGCTACTGGGACACTGATAGTTTCAGGCTGTTTTCACTAGGTCAGCTGCAGTACAAAGCTAATTGTTGCTAGACCTTTTTTTGTTACTGAACCTCTGATACTACTTTCCTGTTTTGAGTAGGTCACATGTAGTACCAGGCTATTGTTGCTGGACCTCTGATAGAACTAACGTATTTTAGTCTACTACCTGTACCTGGGTATTGTTTCTAGGTCATTTGCAATACCAGGGTATTGTTTTAGGTCATTGTCAATACCAGAGTACTGTTTCTGGGCCACTGGCTATACCAGAATATTGATACAAGGGCCAGTGGTTTTACTTGGCTATTATTATAAGGCCACTGGACATACCAGGCTATTAATTGTTACTGACTGGTATAAAACTATTGTTGTAAGGCCTCAGAAGGCACCAAGCTATTGTTACTTAACCACTAGGAGTATTGAAATGTACAATACAAATTGATTTAGATATTGTAATAAATTGGGCGATGTGACTAAGGTACGATTTTGTAAAATATTATTACCGGTACCCAACTTCTGTTCAACCTTATTATGTAAAGATCATCTACTCAAACATGGAGAATTATGTTCTGGCTACGATTCTATTGTATTGGTGAAAAAGATTGATATTATTGACGTGAATTTGCCATGTCGACTAAGGCAATCTATTTTTAATATTGGCGCTTTAAACTTTGAGATAATCATATATAGCCTAGATATATAAGGACTTTTTGCATAACATTGTTTTAGGCCTACCTATGGCTATTATTAATAGCAATATAGTCCAGAATGTTCTTATAATACAGCTCCTTTCAGATGATCAAATTGAAAAAGAGTTATATATAATTTTTAATATAAAGTCCCTCTCTTCCCCCTGGAAATATATCCGCCCAAGGTCAAGGTATAAGACATTCATAATTGCTTCGTATTATTGCACTTGTCAAAAAATATTGAAAAAGAAATCGTCCTCGTTGTTGTTTGTGTATATAATACACAAATTTACAACCAAATGAAGTTTATAAAAAGGTTACTTTTATCGGCCTTAATTGAAACACCAAACAAGCCCCAAAAAGAAGAAATGAAAATGAAAGGAAAGATTCAGTTTCAATTTTGAGGCAGCAAAGACTTCCCCTTTAACTGGAATCATTTCATCAGTCAGTCTACCTGCTGTTTTGAAATCAAAATGGCGAACGTAATATTTTTTATATAATGAATAAAACATGCGACAACAAATATCTACGACATATTATTTGGTATATATTTACTTCTATTTACAAGGCGATTGTGGTTCACTGAGTTCGACACTGTCTTTGTCGCTAACTTGAAGGTCCAGAGTTCAATTTCCACATTGGTAGAAATACCTACTTAAATCAATGAAAAGGAATTTATAGTCATAGGACAGATTTTTTCTTAAAACATTTCTTGTGAAATCTATGATTCACATTGAAAAAATACATATTCACTAACAAAGCAGCTGGCTAGAGTTTTAACATATCTTGAATTCATCATTCACAAATGCTTCCACTGGCGGTGCTAGTGGAGGTACCTGGGGCGTGGACTGGAGGGCATCCCCCCCCCCCACCCCCCTAGAAAAATGGTTGCATATGATTTTTATAATTGTCAAAATCAACTAAATAACCAAATTAATTCTTATTTTCGAAAATTTTCTTTTGTGAGAACCCTTTTAGAGGCTATGAGAGGCTTGCGACCATGGCGCCTCTACAGAGGTTCCGAATATTGAATTCAGCTTCGACAGTTGTCCATCAAATAAGTCCGTCCGCTCCTTATTTGTACCCTTAGTCGGAAGGCTGGCACCGCCGCTGTTCACACCATTGCGGTAAATGTGAACAATGACATCAGTAGTAATATGACATTAATCCTCGGATTGTGTGTGTGTACAACTGATTTAATGGGGGGGCAGCTGTCAAGGTCGAATTCGAAATAATGCAGTTCTATGGGAGCACCATAGACGCAAGCCTCCCATAGTGTGTCTGGGAGGATTCTCCTCAAGAGAATATTTGAAAAATATAATTGATTTGGTGCATTCTGGCATGATTCTGTGCATAAAAACGTATGAAATGCATATTTTTAAATTCTTATAAGTGAAGTGGAGGCACAAATGGAAGTGCAAACCATTTTTCTAGGAGGGCAAATACACCCCCTGTACCCACAATCACCGGCAATATACAATTTCTTTTATATTGATCTCCTGCAATGTTAATTTCTGCGCACTTGCAATGTGCAGTATACAACCGAATGTAACACGATGTTTGTTATTTTTAAATAGAAAAAACACATACAGTCAAAACAAGTGTTGTGTAAGGCGAACCTACTTTTAACACAATTTACATATATATACATCGAGAAATCGATCGTTTCAAGTTGTAAGAGGACATATTTTAAAAAGCACTATTTATTTTTGTCATTGTCAGACAGCTTTTTAAATTCAGTTTGAGATATTATGTTCTGTAAATATATTTCATATTTTGATTTTTGGTGCTTTGTCAAATAAATATATCTAGTTTAGATCAGTGAAAGGTTTATAAAATTGTATTATAGGGATTCGCCATATAAAAGGGCATATCTTTGACATCTATATAAAAAATAGTTGTGTCTTGAGTATACGACCGCTTACGTTCTTGTGTTCTTCCTTTTCGAAGTTATTTGCTAAATCTGTGTTTTTAAGGTATCTTTCGTCCACTACTTTATCATAAGTTATATGACAACTTGAAAACTGATTACCAAGGTTATCTGATCTTGCAGTATTTGGTGTGCTTTTTTTGTCTCTATTTAGATAGCCGATGGATTGATATGTATCGTTTTCATCATCAGCTTCATTGTTAATAGTAGCTTCGGAGTTGGACCCATATATCTCTGTGTGGGTTTTCTTAGCTACGTACGCTGGTGATTTTCGTTTTGGAAGAGGAGGTGCTTGTTCATGAACCGGATGTTGATTGTTAGTCCTGGGCATCCTAACGTAACGTGTGGTTACATCTTGCTGGGTAATTCTCGCGCTATCTTGTTTATAGCTGTCTTTACTGGTATTATGCTGGTTTCCTTTAGGTGTCTTTTTCCACAAACATTGTGGGATATTCTGATAATTACCTAGAGTGGGAAAGTCGAGATATACTGGTACAACTTGGTCATACCCTGAATTGGTAGATGGGGTACGTTTCAGTTCCGTTTTATCTGTATCAAAATCTATATTTTGGCTGACGTTGTTCAAATTGTTTTTGTCAGAGGGGAAACGGTTTGCAAAAGGCTGTGAGGATATCTGCGAGTTACATTCATTCTTTCTAGCTCTATTGTTGTCATCTGTACTGCTAATTGATGCTGCGTCGTCCGCAGTATTTCTGTGTAAGAGTAATTCTTTTAGTGAATTGTTTTCAGCTCTCAGCCTTTCTATATCTCTGTCTTTCTCTTCACTTGAATAATTGTGAATGACCAGTGACTGAAATTGGAAATAGAGGACAGTAGCCTTTTGATATAATTCGTGTGTTATAATTATGATCGAAGATAATTGTCTTAATGGTTCAAACTTAAGACCCCCCCCCCCCCCCTCCAGAAAGAATACAAAATTAAAGACAAATGTACCAAAGTAAGAATCTAAAATGTCCAGGTCTCAGAGGGCATAGTATGATGAAAAATAAATTCTCAGGGGAGGGGCCCCAACCCGCTCAAGTATACGGGTTCCCACTAATATAGTTAAAACCCTCTTATACGATTGTAATACGTCATTTAACATACAATCGTTTCAAACGGGGTTAATCATAGGCAAACCCACGACTCTCAAAATAATATTGTCATTCGAATTTTTATAATCCTTATAGTCAAATATTCAAGTAAACAGTTTATTAAACATTGGAGCAAAAATATTGAATTTAAATTTGTTAAAATAACCAGTTACATGGACAGTGTCCGTTGAGGAGTTTTTTTTAAAATTACAATTGCAAGATGGATTCCCTTATTTTCATTAATGAAAATGAAAATGAAAATTCACAGGCCCACAATTAATTCATAATAAGCTAAAGTAGATGTAAATTACCAGCAGAATTCCAATGTGTGACCGATCAAGAAAGGTCAAAAAGTATTTCCAGATTATCCAGACTGTACATACATAGACAATTGTGATTGGTTAAAACTCTTAATTATATGCAACAAGAATAAAATGATATGATTAGGAATACATTATAATTCATTAAAACACTAATTAATCGAATAGTTTGCTTAATTTGACACTAAAACAATAAGGAAACCCCAACTTTAAATGCACATAATATTTTCTTTCTATATGTTATGATTATGCAAGATTGACATTCTTTCTATTGACAATAATTAGGGCGTAAATAAGTAAAGAAAAAACCTTAGTGGTATTCATTGGTATTTACTTCCTGGTCCCTGATGACATTTTGTACGTAAAATACGTATAAAAACGTAAAATAGTATTTTAGAATCTTATAATATCTTTAGATTGATGACAATTTCAACCACTAAAACAATTACTATTAGGAGACTTGAATTTCAAGTCGAAAGTGTGGGCCATTTATTTTCGACCTTAGCCCTTACAATGTTTTTACAATACAACCTTCAAATGAATCAAATCAATTGTCAAAGGTTACCACTACTCACCTTCAGCATATTCAACGGTACCATTTCCAAAATGTTAATAATGTACTCTTGTCGATCATTAATGTATACATATGAAATATATGATTATGAATTACCCTAGTCAATAGTAACTGGTTTCTTTTCAGCCATCCTAATCCCTAGTCACCAATACGATACAAATCTTCCAAATTAAGTTGACGATTATACTCACGTTACATTTGATATTGTAATGAATAGTTCTAGCCATGTCTGAACTATGGTACACTCTTTAAATAACATCTTGTTACATTGTAGTTGTAGTGAAGGAATGCTACTGTACAGTCGGGTTTTCCCTTAAAATATACCCAGGAAGTATATTACTATCAAGGTATAGGCCTATATAATTATTATGCTTTGTAATTGTTCTCAAATATCAATTGCAACGATTCGTCATTTATACCTGAAAAGGTCGATTAAATAACCAATAGTAGAGAGATGGGGTGGGTCCTCGCTTCTAGGTTAACTACGATATTGAGATTGCTGATAGAAACTGGATCACCATTAAGCGGTGTCTTGAATAGCCTACGCCATGCCGTCAGACTTGATATTCGCGAATTGAAAATGACCCCTATTACAACTTTTGATAATTTTAAAGAATTGGCAACATGTGTCTGAACTCTGGTAAAATTGGGAAAAAAGTAAAAATATAAATTAGTTTTAGTCCGTAGTAATTAATATTCAGGAGGTCAGTTGATTTACAATTCTGCTTATTTATTGTTTTTATTTTTATATTTGATGAGCATGTTTTGCGACATTTACTCCCGTGTTATTGACGTGTCGACAATCCTCGGTGATCTGAACTGTTGTATTTTGTTGAAGTGAGAGATGATGGTCTGAGTCTAGCTTCAAGGGGGAGATTCAAAGATCTCTTATCATTCTCCATCCAACCAAACTGGAGGCCTACCAAGTTATGTGTCATTTTGTGGCATTTTGTGATTTTTTCGATATACAGTCAAGTAACCTAATTTCGTGGAAACCTATTGTTCGTGGATTTCCGGAAATGATTAATAATTTACCTGAGCGACCTTGCGCGACCTCCGCATTAGTTTGTTTTGATAAACATGGGTTTTCTATACAATATCAGCTAGTAGAATGAATTCAGTAGTTTCAAGCAAGGTAAAGTGTAATAATGTATACTTTGACAAATACAAAATGGCGGATTTCAGTTATTACCAAACGTCACCATTTTTTATCGGCTGAATTTCCTTATGATCCTAAGCGGTAATCGGAATTCCAAGTGTCGTCTGCTAGAATATATTCCAACGAATGAAGTCACGTGATCAACTAGTGGATTCCTTGTCAGCAGAAACTTTCTTTGGAACACAAAGTGGACCATATTCTTATGTTGTTTCAGTGACTTTTAGCAATAAATCACGCTACGTATCTTATTTTGTCAGTCACTATTTTTTTTTTAAATCGTGGTTCTTTGAAGGAATTGTCATTAGTTATAATGAATTGATATTAAAGATAAATACTAAGAGAAGTTAATTATACCACCCGGTATCCATACAATGTGTTTTTCTCAACTTATTTATAGATCAAACATTGTACACGAAAATAGGTGACGCATTCTGCCGCCGTTGTCGAGTTGGTTGCTCATGAAATATGGGTCAAAGTGAAGGATTCATAAAGAAAATCGAAATAAACTAATTTTAATTATTTTGTAGAATATCTGAGGAAACATCTAAGGCATACATTTTTTTTTTTCGTTTTTTAACTTTGACGAAATTCGGTGTTGAATCCTTATATCCACAGGTTACATCACTGTATCATTTTGACAACAGCATATAATAGATATTGTCAAATATCTGGTCATATGTGCAGAATAAATACTTTTGGACCTAGCGGACAAACCCTTAAAAAACTACTTGTTCACCGCTCTTCAAGCTTCTATAAAATTGGGCCCATTTCAGACGTATTTGTCGTCTTATATTATCAGTATTACGTCCCTTGTCTATCTACTCTTCTTATGAAGGAGTTAAGAAAGTCGTGCGCTTCCGTTTCGTGGACAAGCCAACGTGACAGATATTTTATTTTCAAAACAAACTATACTTTCCTCAATATTTTAAATAACCACAGTCCTTCAAAATGATGAATGTAACCGATTTTCAGAGTAGGTGTATATTGTACACAGTCGACAGTCCTGTAAATAGCTCTATGTCTCTATTAGGCTATAGCCCATTGATGCGTACGACGTGCCGGGTAGAGTTGACAACTCACAGATATATTGTCTACTAAAAACCGTTTGCATGCCAGGATTATAGGTTCTGTTTGGTAATCCCTAATAGTATCAGAGAGAAATGCCTACCATATTTGTCGAAGACATTGCCATATTGCAGCCTTCATTGTGTGAAGGATCTTGTCTTAACTTTTGTTGCAATACCCTAAAACCCACATTTTTATAAACCTGAGAAAAAAAAAAATTAACTCTTGCCTTGATGGACAAACAAATAATAAATCTAAACCTTTTTTTATTTCAGAAATTGGTGTAGGTCTTGCAGGATTTGGTGTTGCATTCTTGTTTTTAGGAGTTGTGTTTCTGTTTGATAAAGGACTTTTAGCCATAGGAAATGTATGTTCACCTTTTATACACTTAATTAAGCTCTGCGAATTAAGTTTCACATTTCTGCCAAATGGTGCACTCATTAAGTCTTTTCCAGTATTTTTGACCCTATGAGGTCATGCCTAAAATGATTTTGATAAGCTTACCATACACTCAAATTTTTGCAAGTCCTATATTGTATTTGCTAAATCAATAAAGTTTTAGTGATGATTTGATTTTTATAAAGATTTTAGGCTACAAGGTAGGCTACTAAATGAATAATTTCAGTTGAAAATGTTTAATATTTGTATTTGTTTATTTCAGATTTTGTTTATATCTGGGTTAGCATTTGTGATAGGTTTGGAAAGAACTTTCAGATTTTTCTTTCAAAGACATAAATTAAAAGCAACAGGGTTTTTCTTTGGTGGCATATTGATAGTATTGATAGGTTGGCCAGTTGTTGGCATGTGTTTAGAAGTTTATGGTTTCTTTTTACTCTTTAGGTAAGTGTTCTCATTTAATTCACATGAATAAACCTGTGTCAGCCTCCTTGACTCTTCAAAAGAGATGAGAAACGTGATAGGAAGGAGGTCTTTATCTTAAAATACAATATTAATATTAATTTTGAATATTTTTTCATCTTTCAGTGGTTTTTTCCCAGTAGCAATCAATTTTTTACGGAGAGTTCCAATAATAGGTACCATATTATATTTACCTGGTATTAGATCGGTAAGTATTTTCTGATCTCATCAATACAACCGGTTTGGGTTATACTTGCTATATAGTTAATCCTAGTCAGAATGATTGTGTTAAATATAAAAATATTGGTGGAATACTTCAAAATAACACTATTTCTGACATTTCTCGGCAAACTCATTGAAAAAAATGTTCATCAGAGATTACTTCACTAATTATGCAAGTCTAAAATTTTATAAATTTGACATCTTTTTCTAATTGAGCTCATTCATGCTGCCAACATATGTTTCAATGTACAATCCTCATGAGACTGCTTTTGGACTTTAGATATATTAGAGTGTATTATTTCATTAATTATATTATTTGATATATCTATTTATTTCAGTTGGCAGATCGACTTGGTGAATCTAATTCAATGGTATAACGTAACTTTTTAGTATCTCAATCTTAAATTATTATTCTTTATATGGCAATTATTATTCACTTGTTGCCTTGTTCTCGACATGGAACCTGATATTCACTTACAAAATTGTTGACTTCAAAGCAGAATTCTAAAGCTTTAAAACTTGAACTCAGAATTAATAGTCAATATCTTTGAATACTGACTCACAGTCTTGATTAATTAAGTATAAGACTAATCCTCACAACGGTTAGTTCTCTATTTACTGGTGTTGATAAAGTTAATCATGAAATCAAATCTAATTTTATTGGAATATGTTAGTTTTCACTGAAATATCTGGTAAAATTCTGTACTGGTTTTCAAATTTCCCAGACTCTAATTTCCAGATTCTTCTGTTGCCAATACATTAGCATGTGTAATTTCCATGATCCTTTTTATCAGCTCTGATGTAATAATTGTGTCTGAAAACTGCACTAAACCATTTCAACACTGATTAATATATGAACTGGCTGTGATTCATCATATGCTATTTAAGCCATATTACTTGGGAGTTCAGGGATTATGACACTCAGTGTTCACCGGGTTAACATATTTGGTCTCTTGTTTGTTAAAACATAAAGTAATCTGGAAATTGAGCACAACAGAAATATGGACATCTACTTTCAGCTTTTATAAAATGTTTCAGTGGAAAAAACGTAACCTATATCCCATTCAGAAACAATGAATTTAGATTCATGAAACTGTCAAAAGAGAATGAATGCAACGCTATTATTCTTTTGTTTTTCTACCTATAATTTATGCGTGCGAACAATATTTCTTTAATGAATGTGAACATTGTATACTAGTCTATTATGAACGCTTGTCAGGTTAACATTTGATAACTGAGTGACAACTAAACTTAAAAGTTGATATTATACCAGAAAAATGGAAGTCACAAAATTCTTAAAACTATTCTGTGAAAGGGTCAGTCTAGACACCTCTCAGTACTGCACTCAGACTGATTGAAGATAAATAATTAATATTAATAATTTGAGCCTGTTATTCAGCCTGTGATGTTTGTATGAACGATTTATAACAATATAATATATCATGTGTAAATGTAAATTTTATCATATTGTCATTTGTAAATATTATTTTATTGTTGTAAATATGTACAATATATACAAAGTCTCATGTTGCATAGAATTTTCGTGTTATTTATTTCTTGGTGTGGTTTTCTGTCAATAATAATTCCCTATTAAGTGACCTCCCATAAAATTTTAAGTCCAAATTGGGTTTGGACATTGTAAAGAAGTTTTCGAAAATTTTCTATGTGTGTTGGGGACACTGATAGAATCAATTTGTACCATTCAGTTGTCTATGGTTCTTGCAACTCTACTTAAACTTATCTTTTATGATGCTATGATAAACTAGAACAAAAGTGACGTAATGAAACACTTACGTTTCAGTGAAATTACAAGAAACAGACATCTTGACTAATTATTGATACGAATCGATGCTATCAGTGTCCCCAATATACATACAACATTTAGAAAACCTCTTTACAATCCTTTAAGGAGGTATCCATTCTGAAAGAGTCTCAAAATTTTATGCATCCAGTTCTTTACATCTACCAAAAACTTCTCTTTAATTTAACAGGATAATGTTTAGTTCAACTATTTACATTGTAAGTATCTTTCTTAATAATCGTGGTACTGGTTAGTAAAAACATTCAAATTTTGATTTTAAAAGAGGGAGGGGAATCAGGTTAACTTACTCTTCAAGTCTGAGATTCCAAGAGGCTTATGCCTAGATCAAAGAAACATGGAGAGTCAACCTCATTCCCTGTAGACATGTGGGTACAGCCATTTATTTTATAGCAAATGCAACTTGTTTTTATTTTCTCTCATGTTAACAATACCTAAAAACATTGAAACTCAAAAAAACATAACATAAACTTCAAGGTTTGATTTATTGATATCCTGAAAGAAATTCTGTTGTACTCCTGATTAAATTCAAATAAGCTCCATCAGTTATACAAATAGATAAAGGCTGTTCTTTAAAGATACAATGGTTTGGTGTTGGGAAAGGTGGTGGTAAAACTAGAGAATCTGCATTAATAAATTCTTTTACATCAATATTTCTTTAATATCATTATTTGAGCTAGTTTGATGAATTTAAAGAGATTTAGAATTCTAATTACTAGTTGGTGGAACTTAAGGTACACATTTAAGATAATATCTGTATCATTTTTCTTCAGGATTGCAAATATAATTCAGAAGACTACAATGTGGCAGGTGGTCAACCTATTCCAGATGTCCATATACAACTGCCTTTGAGATTTTATGTGTGAATTAATTCAGAGTGTTTGTATGAATGAAGATTAGATGTTGCCCACATCAGATTTCCCATCTTAACAATATCAAGTTATTACAAACTTTGTACTTATACCTTGACTGCTATTGTCACTTATCTTGTATCATGGCAATTTGTAAACGAAGTGATTTGATTGGATTGTATGCTATCGTATAAGCTGGCATACAATCTAATCAATATAGCTGCATTTCATAATACAAGAATAGTGGCTATTGCAAAGTTCGTAATAGCTAGACATTGTAACATTCACTTGTCCAGTAGTTGTATTGTTTTGTTTAGCAATAAAACATGACAAAAAATATTTTCTGTTATTACAACACAATAGAGGGCATCAAGTCTTCACTGACACAAATTGAGAAACCATATATCGTGTCTTTTTAACTAACCAAGGGCAACAACCCTATAACAGTTGATCAGGTTGACACATAACTATTATAACTATAATACTATCTGTATTCATCACCACAGTCACCAATCAAACTCATTAAATTCTGACCTTTCTTAATCACACACTCAATTTTATCTCGATCACTTTGTGTTAACTTGAGATGAAAAGTTTGGAGGTTATTATTAATATGTTGACAACCAGGAACACCTAATCTGCACCCAATAATAACACCACCTACACCTGGTTCATCTAGTATATACCTAGTAGCTATGTTAGATATCTTGACATTATGTTGTTTAGCTATGGTATCTAATGTTTGTAGCAGTTCTTGAAATAATGCCCATCCACCCCAAGTATCTGGAAAAAAAAAACAAGACAGTTTACATTACATTTATCTCGACAACTATTTAGTTTGCAATCCTTAAACATGTATATATTTAGTATGCTTATCATATTTTCCAATAGTTTCGCTATAAAATCTATTTCAAACTATTCATTATAACTATGAATATTTGTTATCTGTGTATAACATAGATCATACCTATCATTCTTTTATATTTACTTAAAGATGCAGTATTCAACTCTGATCTGGTTGGTTCAGGTTTATTTAGGTACTTTTCACTCAATAATCCACCACCTACACCAAGCAAAGTATAATGAAATTGTTTCAATAAAATGTAATATGACATTAGATACCCAATAAATTTACATGGTATTTCTTTACTGTGGGACAATGGACAACTTCAATCTAAATCACAGCTACCTATATCACTTTTCACATTATAAAATCCTATTCTGGATTCATGTTCAATTTAATAGACATTTATGTTGTAATATCTGTATTGCTGATTTGTTTGTTTGCGAAAACAATAATTAGGGTCTGGAAAATCAAGTTGATCTTTTAACAATTCAATTAAAGGTGGCTAATTTGAATTCAATTAAAAATTTCTTTTAATATAGCTAAACTTACATAATGTTCCGTATGTTAAAAGTTTGATGTTATTTTTAACACAGAAATCTGCCATTTTTACACTGGGTCTCATATCTACCAGAGAATACTGAACTTGATTACTTGATAGATTTATTCCTTCTTCTTTCATTCTCATCATTCTGGCTGTATCAAAATTAGTCAGTGAAACTTCACCTGCAATTTGTTTAGAAAAATATTTGTAATAAATCTGTGTGACATTCTGGGTATTAAAGGGTGGTATTTGAGTGACTTTCGACTATAAGCACAACGAAAAAACTAACATATAGGCCAAAACTTAAACATTCTAAATCATACTTAGTCTAAAAACTAACCAATTGCCTTACAGTATTTCCTGAAATTAGATTTTGAGAATAAGATAAGATAAATTTGAACACCTTTACCTATAAGACCTTCAGTTTTTAGATCTTGTAAATGTTTCATAGCCTCTAGATATCTCTCATCATTATAGTCCCACCAGTGAAACTGAATACAATCTAATTTATTAACATTCATTTACTTCATAGAACTTCTTACAGCTGATTCTACAACCTACAACATGTCAAAAAATTAACAGCTGATTCTACAACCTAGATTATATAAAAAATAACAACTGATTCTACAACCTAGACCATGTAAAAAATAACAGCTGATTCTACAACCTAGACCATGTAAAAAATAACAGCTGATTCTACAACCTATAACATGTACAAAATAACAGCTGATTCTACAACCTAGATTATATAAAAATATAACTGATTCTACAACCTAGACCATGTAAAAAATAACAGCTGACTCTACAACCTACAACATGTCAAAAATAACAGTTGACTCTACAACCTAGAACATGTAAAAAAATAACAGCTGACTCTACAACCTAGACCATGTAAAAAAAATAACAGCTGATTCTACAACCTAGATGATATTAAAAATAACAGCTGATTCTACAACCTACAACATGTCAAATTAACAGCTGATTCTACAACCTGGACCATGTAAAAAAAGAAATAACAGCTGATTCTACAACCAAGAAGATGTAAAAAATAACTGCTGATTCTACAACCTGGAAAATGTCAAAAATAACAACTGATTCTACAACCTAAACCATTTAAAAACAATAAATAACAGCTGATTCTACAACCTAAACCATTTAAAAACAATAAATAACAGCTGATTCTACAACCTAGAAAATGTAAAAAATAACAGCTGAATCTACAACCTAGAAAATGTCAAAAATAACAGCTGATTCTACAACCTGGAAATTGTAAAAAATAACAGCTGACTCTACAACCTGGAAATTGTCAAAAATAACAGCTGGCTCTACAACCTAAAACGTAGAAAAAATATTCAGGATGTGGATTTAACTAGATCTGATAACCAAGCTCTGAAGGATTTGTGATACATGATAGTACATATTAAAAAAAATAGTTACCTGTCGTGTCATAGGGCCTGGTCTAGGTACAAACTTACTTAAACCCTGAACATTTTTCACAGCATCTTCTCCTCTTGCTTTCTTCAGCTACAAAACAGATTTTTCATTTCCTTACCTGATAGTCAAACAAAGAGGGACACAAATTGTTCTAGCCTGTGCATGTGTACTCAGGAGATTAATGGTTTTTATTTGCATCTATTGCTATCAGAGTCCCAGACACATAAAAGAGGATCATGTAGTTAACAATACAGTGTTGGATACAATTCAAATTCATTTAATTAATTATTAGATGAACTTACTCTATGCTTTTGATTTGTGCCTACACCGCTAACGGATGACGTTGATAATGACTGTAGTGTCTATATTTGTCAAAAATCTAAACCTAATGTCTACAGAATGAATAAGCTGATCAAATGAATAGCCTACCTTAGCCAGAAAGCGACCATATATAACTTCAGCAGGGCCGTATATATCGGCCATGTCAAATGTAGTTAAACCAGCATCATAATAATCTATCATTTCATTGACTAAAATAGAAAGTTATAAAATTAATCTGTAGGCTATCAAAATCATGTGTTATCATGACTAAATAGGTTGAAAACCAGTGGCAGTGCCAGCCTCTGGGAACTGGGGATACAATAACAGGGCAAGTTGACTTAATGAAAAGGAGGGGGGATAAGTGTCTTCAATATAGCATGCAGAGGCAATCTGGAGATGTTATTAAGATTATAGAGTGAAAATGAATTGACAGATAAATTTAACAGCCTATAACCATGTAACCAATGAATGGCAATGCTGAAAAAAAGACATCTTCAGAATAACTCAGTACACTGCTCACCTGCTTTGTCAACATCAATGTGTCCATGTGCACCAGATACCTGCCACATTCCATTTAAGATACGACATATCTCCAAACCGCCTGTTAAAATCGTTTTGCTTACACCCGGTAGCGAAGCCATTTTCTCAAGAAAAAAGTATCAGAAAGGGCACCAAAAGATCCTAATTCGTGTAATTACTTGCAATACACCACTACAATTTTCTATCCTCCTAAATTTAAAGCGGCGACATTAAATGTGTCTGCTTTCTTACTAGGTCTTGTTATGTAACATTTTAGTTTGATGTTATGAAACTGATTTTATTGTTTACGTCGGTCGCCATTTTATGATCATGTGATGTAGCACGTGATGTTTCAGAGATAGTCCGAAATGTTCTTACAACATTATTATTGCATTCTTGTCTTAGCCCGAAAAACTTGCAACTTCTGACCTGCGTTTAATGCGCCAGCATGGTTTCATTTTCTGATGCCTATTCATAACAAATACGTGGGCATCACTTGCGCTACATGGGACTTTTGTTGACCTGTCACTTTCAGTAGATTAACATGTGTAATGAAATGATTTAGAGTTTTTTTACTTCCTACTTTTCTGCACCTAATTTGGCTAATGAAGTCGAGCAACGCAACGCTATGCAGAGTGGATTTCAATTTCAAACTGTGGACAGATCTCTAACATGCACAGCCTGTTGCACATGTGATCTCAGTTTATTGTCTCATTAACAACAAGAAGCTTTTTCCATGTCAGCGCATCCAACCTGCACCAATAACAGAAACTTGGTTGAAAATATGGAAGTTTTATCTCAACCTATGCAGGAATTGAACCCTGGTTGACCATTCCGAAGGTTTTAAACCCCTGGATCCTCATGTAAATGATAGTAAAAAAATATTTTTCTGCATTAATTAAAATCTGTTTTATTTTGTAAATAAAAATCACAACAGTTATACAATGACTTGCTCAATAATCAACATGATGATTATTTATACTATACATGTATTGGTAATTAAAATATGGGATGACTGGATGATGAAGACTTTAAATACTGGTTAACATGGGATTAATGTCAGACAGATATTGAAATGACCAAGCTTTGCTCACAATGATTTCAGTGTAACTTAATTTGTACAGGGAGATAAGAAAATAAAAAAATTGCAATTCAAACTTCACGTCCTAGGTCATTAGTACCTTTACTGGTCAGCATCCTATGAAAACCAGCCTTTCATTTTGCCCAGCATACATTGCTTTTTCTCCGAGCAATAATGTTTATCACATTTATGACAATGTCTATTGCAGAGTGTTATTTATTTCATTTTGTGGTGGGTCCTGTCGTTTAGTTAAACATTCAAAGGTTTATTTTTGTTATATAATAAATAATAAATTGTATAATATAAGTGTAAAAACACAGTTTAAAAAGGTAAGTTTGATATATAAAATTTAACGGGGATCAACATAAATTGCAATGAATCAATCATGTAACTTATAATTCATGATAAAACATGAAACAATTGTTAGGTTATCTCTTGGCTAAATGATAGTGCCGGAAACTGAATTCATTTACTGATTAATTCCTGGTAAAGGCGATATGTTGAGATTAATATATTGTTTCACTCATTTAACAGTACTTCATATACATTTCATTAATTACGCTTTAATATTTGTGATAAATTGAAGAATTTTCTATGAAGTTTAAACCATAAACGTGGTGAGTTAAACTTAATATTACTGAGAAGATTATTCTCATCAAAGATTATCTCAAATCAGTATTTTCTGTTGGTTCAGTGGGCAGTCTGTTCAAAGGGGTTTCACTGTAACTAATATTTACTAAATGGATATTTAGTATGATTGATAAATGAATATATATTTTATAAAATCATAATGCTTTACAAAAGATTTTAAATAAAAGTGATGAATATTTTTATAATTATATCAGGTTTTCAACTCATAAATATTTTGGCTAAATTCTAATTAAAAAAATATTATCATTAAGAATTTACCAAAAATCATATTTACAAGCATAAAAAATTTTTTTGAGTCATAAAGATACAAGTTAAAGAGATTGTAAAAAGGTTATATTAATTTTTTAAGTGTATCACTGATAGCATTGATTTGGACCATTTCAATTTTCTGTGATTTTTGTAATTGTTTGTTTAGAAAACCTCTTTACAATCACTTTGCAGTAAAAATATATATATATATATATAAATATTATAGCTAATGATATTTTTTGGTGGGCTTCTTTATAAGCAAATGACTATAGCTTTTGTAAAAGAAAATGACTTGTTTTTAATCATTGTTTCTACCAAAAGATAGTCTATTTAAATAATTAATGAAAATATCATGAAATTTTTTAGAAGAATTTGTCTGTGGTCACTGAAACTACATAACCAATAAAACAAAACAGCATATTTCACAAATGACTACCACAAAATTAAGAAACATTTAAAAAAAATTAAGCTCAATACAAAATTATCAATCAAACACATAAATTATTCTCACTCACAAAAATTATTACAATTTGGGAATATGGCATCACAATACAAATATTATTATAGTCAAGAACTGTTAGAAACAAGCCAGGTTTTAGTTAAAACTCTATACCAAGAAATGGTTGTCACACCAATGACCTAAACTTGTGTATATTTAAACAATGTCCCAAACTCGTGTATATTTAAGCAATGTATATTTAAACAATGTACATTTAAGCAATGTATATTTAAACAATGTCCCAAACTCGTGTATATTTAAACAATGTCCCAAACTCGTGTATATTTAAACAATGTCCCAAACTCGTGTATATTTAAGCAATGATCCAAACGTGTATGTTTATTTCAACTTATGTATATTTAATCAAAATTCCAAAAATGTGTATATTTAATCAAAATTCCAAAAACGTGTATATTTTAGCAACGATCCAAACACGTGTATACTTAAGCAAAGATCCAAACCTTTGTATATTTATCCAAATGTGCATATTTAAAGCAAGATCCATATAGTGCTATTTAAGCAAAGAAGATAATGCACAATCAAGGATTAATCAAATCACAAAACAGAAGGAATAGTATTTGAAACTATACAATGTCAAACATGTATTCATAATTACCTCAAACAACATGGACTACTGAAGTTTAGAAATATACACAGATGTGCACAAATATCTGCTCAACTAAACCCAAGTTTAACAGCTTTGATATTAAAACAATAAACAGTCATGGCACTAAAGCTTCATTATAAAAACAAACAAATCTTGCTAAAAACACAATAGCTAAGATAAGATATGTTAAATCAGATTAGTCATACCGCCCATCTTTAATTCTTGATATCTTGAGATATTTATCAGAAGTCTGAGGTGGTAGGTTCATAATTAAAAACTTCATACTGGATAATCTAGTACCTACCAGGGGTAACAAATACAACAAAATAAACTTTAAAAATATAGAATCACAAATATCTGAAGTTTCATTAATGCTACGAATTACTGATATAGCATAATATATAACAATTAATATAGCAAAATAGTCGCTTAACAAATTGTTTTTCGTGTTGAGCAAAAATCACGCTAAAATATCAGCATTTTTTAACTTCATATAAGGGTGATATATTCATGCTACAGAAAAGGTCATTATTAGTTTGATTATGTTTGCTCACATAATTCTATATTATTATGTAGATCGTGCTAGCTTGGGTAATTTAGTAAATATAAAGGAAGCCCAGCCTAATAATAAGTTCCACAATGATTTAGCTATCGGAACCCGATTGATTATCAATCTCCATATCACCATAAATACTACAGCATTCATCAAAAACTGCATTCTCTGTAACCTACAATAAAATACAATTTCGTGTAGACATGAGAAAAAGTTCTATTTGTGCAACTTCAGTAGAGATGCAGGCTGAAAATAGGTCAGTTGTCTGAAGATCGCATTGCATGAAATTCTGAGTGACAACATGTTTTTTTAAGATAATATTTCTATTTTCTAAGTTTATATTAATTGATCAAATTATCATCTTTCAATATTCATTTATTAAGACTCAATAAATTAATTCAATGGGCGTCAGGCGTGTAGAAACATCACCGGCGTATCATGACATGATATTTATTGTCAAGAGTAGGGTCAGCACAGTTGATTGTTATTTACACATTGGTAATTATCCCTTGTCTTCATTAACCCAATACAAAGCATTTATTTCTTTACAATGTGACACATTTCACAGCTCAAATTTCAGTTCACACAAAAATGACAATCCAACAGTTAATCAAACATTTTTGGCTGAACTTACTTCTGTAAAGCTCTTCTAGCTCTAGGTAACTGTTCAGGATCTTCTTTTAATACAAATTGTTTAGCACCAAGACAATAGTTCTCCATATATTTACTCCATACTACTTTCTTTACATCAAAATCAAATGTCTACAAATAAATATAATACGTTAAAAATCTAGGAATTGTGTGTGTGAATAATTATGAAACTGATTGCAAATTACCTCTTAAGGCTTTCTAAACATTCTTAAAGAACTCATCTGATAAAAATTTTTCATATAAAATATTTATAGAAAGGATAATCTAAAAAAAACACTGTAAACAGCTTTAAAACATGACAAAAGAGGGCCATTTTACACAGAGTATTATACCAATATTGTATATTATATGACAAATAGCAGTGACACTTTGTACATTGTTCAAATCCTATTTATATTTACTGGATCAGTAAATTCAGAAAATTCATTTCGCATCAAATACATTACCTCTTTATCTTGTGGAGACATTTTATTTGCCAACATAAATATATTTTCATTAGAAAATTTCCATTCATTACTGGTAAAAAATTCTAAACTTTTGACAGCTTTCCATATTTTATCTTGAATCTTAACAAATCTACAATAGAAAGAAAGTAACTTGACCAGTGTTATATGGTGAATGGTGTTCCTGCAGTTATTTTAACAGAGTTCAATTCCAGCTATATAGATGGCAATAGCAGACTCATCATGATGATGTCTGAGTCTCATATTGCTAAAATAGAGCTGTACCAGCTGATAAAACTTTATTTCTTTTCAAATCTTTCATAAGCAGGAAAATTAATTATGAAAAATAAATGAAGTGGGTGTGCCTGCCAAATGATATTAAAAAATGATTCAAAAAAAACTAAGAAAATACAATTCATTGGTAACTTACACAGGTTTACGTCCCACAACCCATAAATAAAAATCCATAACATAAGCTGGTAACAAATGATCAAATATAACGTTAATATCTTTCCATAATCTGAAATCAAACAAAGCTGATGATTGGAAGAAAGAATTATAGAAAATTGTTCAAGGTATTATTGTTTATAAGTAAGGTCGAATCTCTGAATAATGTTGTTTATGAGCAATAAAGAATATTTGAAAAGATAAGAAAATTCTATGCAATGTTAATCCTGGACAAGGCCATTGTTCAGAAACTTTGTTTGTTCACCCAGTTTCTAAAGCTGAGAAATTAGAAATTGAGATTTGAGAAATAAGTGAACATAACTTACGAATATTTTGTAAATCTAGGATTAGGTATTCTAGCCAGCTCCATTGGATTCTTCATTAAATATTCATGTGACCAACGTTCTAAACATTAAAAAAAAATATATAAATTGATGGCTTGAAAACATCCTACCTCAATGGGCAACCTGAAAGCAAAACTGAACCATGATAAGTATAGATGGACTTACCAACTTGTCCCCATTTTAACTGGTTTATTTGCCCTGTGGTGTTATTAAATACTAACATTTTATCAGGCCTGAAACATACAGAGAACAGACATAAATAATAATTTGAAGACTTTTAATATCATTAAGTGGTACTGATGCTTGGTAAGGCACTGGATGGATAATACCTTTAGCAATTGGCCTAGGAAATCAAGAAACTAGTCGATAGGTTATGACTTTACGACCACCACATTTGTAAGAACTTGAACAGAGAACAGGCAACATAAACAATTGGTCTATAGGTAAATTTAAGGGGTATAATTAAAGAATTGAGATGACTACTGTCAAGGTTATATCTAAATAGAAAAACTCACTTATTAACTGCTGTATGCCATCCAACTGTGATCATTAAATTAGTAGCTATATCAACAGGTAAAATATCTGCTGTACCATGAAAATCACCTATCATCATCCTCAATACTCCTTTACCAATCTACAAAACATCAATACAATTAAAGTCCTTTACTTTACTGTAAGTTAATAGAAAAACAACAACAACCAGCCAAACAATGATTGCAATAGCAAGAAAATTTGTTGTTAAGTAGCAACTTTTAGAAAAATCTTCAACCAATTCTCAGTGTAATAAGATGTGGCCCTCTCCAGCTTCCATAATATATTCAATCTATGAAGTTCTAAACAAACACTTACTGCAACAAGTAAACCTGTAGGACCATTATAATTATCTACCCAACCCTAAAATACAAGGAGAAAATCCATTATTTACAAATAAAATCAAATCAATAATTATCTAGCAATAAAAACCAATATCAAATGTAGTGAACCTTAAAAACCTTTTACAATATGTTTTTTTTTTAAAGTTGTTTTTTTACTATGCATGAAAATAGCCTCATAATATATCATTTCTTCTCATACTGGCATTGCAGTTCTTGAAACATCAAAATATAAAATCCAACTTACAGGAAAGGGTTCTTTCCATGATGAACCAACAATAGAAGGTCTAACAATGGCTACTGGTAAATTCTTGGATTCTTGTGATAATAAATATTCAGCCATAGCTTTAGTGTAAGTATAGGTATTAGGTCTATCTCCTAATAATTTACCAGTTAAGGAGTTCATAGCTTCATTATCCATCCATCTTGAGGGGAGAAATGATGTTTATCAAAAACAATGCCATGTCTTACATTTTCATGGGGATTTTTTTGCTTCAACAGGAATGTCATATTTTTATATGGGGATAAAGAAGATGAAAAATTCAATACAGTGTGCAACGATTGAAAAATCTATTCATTTGGAATTCCACCAGTCAAGGGGTCATTAACGAGCACAACGATAACATACATAAAGCCTAAGAAATGTGATTTGCGATTTAAGGCATTCTTGTGAAAAGGTTTCAAAAAGCCCTTCACACAAGAGATTCCAAGGTTAGCAAATCCAGTCACAAAGTAGTATCAGGTGTTTTGGAAAGGTCTACATGAAGACTGCAGACTGACTCACTGGGAGAACAACTGTGGAGACATCATAGTCACACTGACAAGAAGACAATAAGATAAATAGTTAGACTTACTCAGCAGCATCTATTAATCTATTAGGATTCAATGGTGGATCATAAACACGTTCATCTATAAATTTCTTATCACAGTTAGCGTAGGCCGTAGACACATGGATTAAAGCCTGAAAAAATTCACATAAAAATCAGCTAAAAAAACAAATTCATCGAAATCAGAATACTACCTTATAAAAATCTATATCTTGCTCTTATTCTTCAACAATGCAACTTTGCTGAAAGAACATTTGGAAACAGACCGATCGACACAAACTCTCAACAAGCTTTGGTCTGATACACTTTCTGGGGGAAATCATATGAATGAATGTATCCTCAATTATAATGATATGACACCTGGGAAAACAATTTCAAATCCTCTCATACTAAAGAAGGCTACTCACTTTTAATTTGGTAAACTTATGACATAATTCTATTAAACTTTTAACACCTATAACATTCATCTGGAGGGAAAGCCTGGAAATATAAAATGAGAATGTCTTGGACTTGAAGTTTAAAATCATTGAGGTATGAACAAAGAGATATAGCAATGGCCAAGGCAGTTTGCCCGAAAGGTATGATTTCTTATAAAGAGCCTTTTTGTTGAATTTTTTAAATCATTGCATTAAAAGCAGACTATATATATGTCTGGTTATAGAACCACTATTGCCCCAGTTCCCAACCTGGGGTGTTTTCACTACCCTAGGGGTGTAGGACTAGGTTGTCAGGGGTGTGGCCAAATGGTGTAGGAGAAGAATTTATTTTGAATTGAGAGAGCACCTCACATCATCACATGCTGGAAATGTGGATCAGGAGTGTAAGGGCTGAAAAAGGTTGGGAACCACTGCTCTATTGTGACCTGGGTCACACAAAGCCATGTCATGTCAGATAACTTTCTTGGTCAACTGATTAGGTTATCAGTTTTAAACTTTATATAGCAGATTAACAACATTATTATAACACAGATGACCTTAGACCATTGAACAATGATTAGATCTGTAACTCTCAGACCACTATGGCTTCCCAAAGCAATTTTGTTCGTCCAAATACATTACACATAAAAATGATGCACAATTTGGATCAAAAAATGTCAAGAAACGTTTATCCTTGGTCAAAATTTTCATCAACTCTAAAACAGCCTATGACAAAACAGAGTTATATAACGTCCTCAGAAGTCAGAAGTCAGACTGTACTAAGACATTAGTAAATGTCAATAGAGTTATGTTCAAGCATTGAAACAATATAAATATATGTTACTAATTAGATTAGTAATGAATCGTTTGCTTTGATTATTAGTAATAGCATGTGTCATCATTACCTTTAATGTTGTCAAAGAATTGCTGAAAAATAATCAGTGAATGAATTCAGTTGCCAGTTTAGGTCAATTAACTAAAATTAGTCACTTCGGTACCTGATTTTGATGTATGTTGCCAGTTTATTGAATATTTTCTTCAACATATTATATTGTGATCAGGACAGGTCTTTTCAAATATGATGGTTTACAGAGGATACAGTTTAGAGTGGCGTTTCACTGTACATGTTTGTCTAGTATGCTTAATTCAATACACAACATGCATATTGCATCTTCACAATGTCAAGCTATTACGAACTTTGACTACAATAGCTAATGAAGGGATTATATGCTAGTTATTACAGCTAATCAGAGCCCTAGACAGAAAGACTGTTAACACAATGATTTGTTTACAGATCTTATATCGAGGCTGCTCTCTATTCGCTTGACATTGAACATTGTCATTTTGCGATTATCGTACCAGCGCAAATAATTCATGCTCTAAACAATCACACAGACCCAGTGAATATTAATGGATTTCATATTATTAGAATTCAATTAGCTCTATTTCAATCAAATTTCTTACAAAAGAACGAGATCATTATTTTCAACTTCAATCTACATTCAATTTCAACAAACATCTGTTTCAAATATGGAATTCAAAGTTAAAGGGACGTTTTCCTCTTCTAATTCTCATTCATAGATTTTCATTTCCCGGAGGCAAAATGGCAGCCAAGGAGGGAGGTTGATAAAACCTAAAACTCCTAGAAGGTAAATGAAACATTTCGAGAGTAACATTTTCGTACTACAAGCGCTTTATTCTCAACCTTTGACTTTCAATAGGGTTCATACTGAAGTCAAAACCAACTATTTCTCAAAATTTCGACAAAATCAATCAAGAATTTTGCCTTCTAGAGTGTTTATGAGCTTAATTTGACACGTATATAGGGAATAAGGGCATTTTTCTATTTTTTTGCTTTTAATATTAGGGTGATAATAAACAATTCTAGGCAGCTTAAGCTCAATTTTTGAAAAGAAAAATTACTAAGTAACATAAATTTATCATGTTATAAACCTATTATATTATATACCAGTATGGTTATAATAAATTACCAGTATCTACAAAATAATACTTACACTATGATTTATAAACAATGACAATAAATCAATATATTATCATTATTAATATTATATACATAAAATAAATTTTGTAACATAACAGATACATTTAATAAATTAACAGTTACATTTCATTTTCAAACAAAATACTACAGGTCGGAACTAATAAAATGTCAGAAAATTGGAGAAAAGCTTTTTGTACTTAGAGCATAAAGAAATTAAGTTTTGGAGAAAAGCTATTTGAAATTACAGAAAAAGTCGTTTTCGAATCAGAATAGAAAGCTGTTGAACTTAAGAAATGCCATTTGAAATTATAGAAAAGCCATTTGGAATTAATGAAAAGATATTTGAAATTAGGTAAAGCCATTTGTATTTAGAATAAAAGCCAAATTAAATAAGAGAAAAGCCATTTAACTGAGAAAAAAACACTAGAAATTGGAAATGAAATGAAATGAATGGAGTTTTACGTCCTACTTTTCTGACTAGAAATTTGAGAAAAGTTATGTTAATAAGAGGAAAAGCCATTTAAAAAAATCCACATCAAATTTTACCTGAGTTCTTCATCAAATTTAACAGTAGCAGCAGAATGAAAGACAACAGAAACAGATTGTGATAAAGTTGTGATATCCTCCTCTGATATTCCTAATTTTTTCTCTATGATATCACCAATAATTGGTTTCACTTTAGAGTTGATATCCACATTATCATTACGTAGTTTATCAAATAACTGAAAGTAGATCAGAAACAAATTAACTAACACCTCCAATGTTTGACTGCTTTAAATTATTTTTTGAAAAACATGTCTCCCTTTACACACAGATTTGTCAATATCTGTAATCCTCGTATTTTGAACTTCATTTGCTTATGGATTTTATTGAAAAATTGGACTATTAATATACCTAGATACAGTATTTTGATAAAAGCTAATTACCAAAAAGCATCAGTTTATTCGCAAAAAAAAACCCCCAAAAACAAATTACAAATATATTTCCTACTAACCTTTGATTTTAATAATGTGTCTAAACGTTCTGATACAGACTGGCCTCGTTTCGGTCGTATCAAAACATAAATACATTCAATATCAGGACATGAACGTAATAACTTCTCTAATAAAACTTTGCCCATAAACCCTGTACATCCTGTAATAAGTAGAGTCTGACCAGCGTAGAATTCCGGTATGGTAGGCGTAGTTCCAGACATCTTTGAGGTTGTTTCACTGTTTCTGTTTTCTTTCATTCAAACTGAAATAACAAATGTCACATCTGTTACTGGATGTGTGCATGAAATATATAGCTCTGCATCATTTAATTTACAAAAAATTCAATTTTATGTACCGTCCATAAAAAAGACCTTGTTTGAAAAACTATTTTGAACTTTAAAACGATAAAAGATTACATCGTCAATGTGAGTTGTAATGCAATTCTATAAATACCACTACCTGAAGACCTACCAACTCAAATGAAACTCACAACTTTAATGGATTGTAAAGAGGTTTCTAAATTTCTCCATTCACGTGACTAGCATTTAACATAAATTTTTCAATTTTATCTTGTATTACAAAAGTTTTGGTATTGATTTAGCAATTTAAATTTGTATAATGTCCACTGTTAATCAATATCCAAGAAGTTACCGTACATAAAAAAAAGCAAAAAAAAACTTCATAAGCTTAAAGAAACTCTTTATTTCTAAGCTGTGAGTAAAACTTTGAAATCCTGAAAATCATGTCAACATCATTAATATAGCAACGTTTATCTCTAGAGATTCATGCTCTATTTCTCAACTGAAAAGATCTTGGACGAGATTGTCATAAAATATTTAGATGAGAATATGTCATTCGTTTAAATTCGTACAGTCCCAGAAACGGATTTTTTTGTAGATTTCGCTATTTTGTAATAATGTTCTCAGCTCACTGTCGAAATTTTAACCCTCAAATCTATGTCTGATCAGAATTATCTGCATTAAAAAGTTAACGAGACAACCCGTTTTTCTTTACTCTGCCATATTATAAATAAAAAAGACATACAGAAATCGAAAGAGAAATTCTTAGTTTGAGGTATTTTTGAAGGAATTGTGCGATTTTTAAACATTATTTTCTAATACTTTTGAAGACTATTTACATATAAAATAAAGACCCAAATCAACCCCTGAAAATGGCAAACCTGTCCCTTTATAACATTGAGTATACCATACTTACAGCAAAATTTATCAAGAATTTTTGAGGAACAGTGTCCAGGAGCTTACCTAATTTGGCTTCTCCATTCTCCTATTGAGTGTTTACCAATCAATGACACACTGACCTTGCGTAAGGTGTGAGATTGAGTGATAACCTCAGTTAAATCATGATAATTATTACTTTACAGATAACCGGGTTACGTACGGTTAAGATAATTATTGATAATCAAGCCCTAAATAATTATTGAAGCCTACTTTTTAAACTTTTCAAAGTAAGATAAAAAAATTCTAATTATTGGATCACAATAGCCAACTGATGTTACTTTGAATTACTATACATCTCCTATTTTAGTATGATTTTGACAAATCGAGAAAAACAATGATCTACTCTATATGATATAATTGTTCAATTAACTTTAACAGCTACCTATATATTAGTAGAATGAAACCATAGGTCAAGACAACAGGGGCCAACTTCAAAAATGATATCGTACATGAAAACATCTGCGGTATTTATGGTTTCAGTATCAGTCTAGCAAAAACTACTTTACTTCCATATATACCGGTATTTCGTTTTTTTACTGAAATTTGGTCAAATTCTAACTTGACAGCATTATGTCTGCCAAGTTATATCTGTCAGAAGAAAACAAAATTTGGACAAGCCTCTCCATTTAAAAGTTATCAGTAAAATGTGACCAAAGTAGGAAAACAGTAAGCTTACACTACAGTAATACACTGATACAGGTAGGCTACTGTACAGGAAAACAGAAAGAAATATTAACACAATCATAGCCTATAACAGAACTAGGAAGAGAAAGTTTAGTATTGCGAAAGTCGGCCAAAGTTTTAATATAAAAATAAAAAACATAAATAATATATATTGTTTGGTTGCTAGGTACATACTAATATTACTATACTATAAATACAGATACAGTAATACACACAGCCACTACACTAATAATATTGATATCAATTTATACAAGAATGGCCTTGGCGTAGTAATGGCTATTTTACCCTCATACGATCACATGTTATTGGAATATTTGTTTACACACACGCATTTCAAAATCAAAATACCTTTTTTGACAGCACCTGTCTGTAACTTGCAATCTGTGTCGCTCTATAAAAAACGATAACATTTAATGCCCTTTATAATAAATGAGATTTGGCTTACTTACTTTTTTAATCGTTATTTGTCAGTCAGATAAATCTTGTTGGGCCAATAGTTAATCTGTAAGATTAATCTGGCGTGACTGTCAATGAAAAGGCGTCGCCATACCGGTGTCCAGTGCTGCCCTCTATTGTAAAGTAATAATTTGGAAAGATAATTTTTCTTAATTAAACAGAGTAGTTCCCCTTACACCAGTTTACAATAGCTATGCAATTTACAACATAGTAAGACAGGACTCACTCCACTAATTCATTTGCCATCTCTTCCCATGTTAAAACACGAAATTCAACCTTCTACAACTTTTTCCAGAAATCACGTTGAAAGCTTTCCAATATGTCGAATGAAAGCCTGAGCAATCCTTAATGCCTCATAAAAAATTCAATATATTATGATGATCATGAAAATTTCGAGCTTGTCCGTATAATCTAAATAGTCCACACCTGAGTATTATAGTGTGGAGGAGGGGGGGGGGGGGAATTGTGGAGGAGTGTATATTTCCAGGAGGGCCTGATTCTAACACTTTTTACGAACAGCAATTTCATTGAAAACCGTTTTTTTAATGTTCAAAATGATACCTGCAATCATAATAAAGTTTGCTATAAGGCTTCATTTATCAATATTATTGATGCATGACAATAGTAGCCTATTTAGATAGTAGAACTGCCTTTTGTGAGCTGGTTCGATATTCTTTAAAGAAGTCACAAACTAAACCGACCCAGAAGCGATCCATCGGCATTTTTTAAGATTATGATAAAAAAAACATTATCAAAAGTTTTTTTTTTTTTAATTATAAGAAAGCAATACAGAAAATAGACATTATAATAGCAGAAATGATAACTATATATTTCTTAGTAACTCAGGAACATATTGGATTTATGCATATATATCATAATAAACATTAGAATATTAACTTTAAACGATTACAATACGGTCTGTAATTATCATATGTCTAATATGTTCATAGCTCAGCAAGGTCAAAACACTTTCAACCCGATTAGCCCATTTAAAAAGTAGGACATTAGAAGACAGAGCCTTATCCTATACGTTTCATGTTATTGATAGGGAAATTATAAAGTAGGCTACTTAATAAAACAAAAACCTTATCAAATCTCGGTTTCTGGGAAATATCTTTTCCAGAAAATATCTTTTATTAAAATGTAGAAGTCGTTAAAATTGACTTAGAGCTCATTTCATGTTGCCCACAGGTGTGTCGGATTACTCCTCACCAGGACAGCTTTGTTGGAAATACGGATTATCTTTTCAGGATTTATTGGGTATTCACAAAGTTAGATAATAACTATTTTTGTTTGATACATTATTTGGTGATTATAATCAAATACTACAATGTCATGACTGCGTCTACAACATCAACACCACGATTCTTGTTCTGTGTCCTATAGACCGCGTCTACCTTTTCTTTACCCATACACAGCTTTATATAATTACAATTAGGGTACAGCCGGGCATGTTCATACCATGGATTATCAGTCGTTTGCCAATCCTTAAGTACAGTTCCACATGCGAAACATTCCACCGAATCCCCATATCCAAGATAATGGAATCCAGCATGAGCTAGTCGCCTGGCGTCTGTTTTTCCTCGCCAGTTTATAAATGTTTGTAACCGCACAGCCTCTTTTGAGAAATCCATGGCTTTGTTAAAGAATGACTATTATCACCAAGTACCAGTGTCCTGTAATGAAAGTGAAACTAGAAAATTTACAGAACAGATTCTCTGAAATAGATTTCGCAATCAAATAGAGTAAATTTCGGCAACCGGCGGAATCTATGTGGCAGTGTCACAGGCATCAAGACATCTTCTGTCGTGCAGAGACAAAGTGAGACGAATCGCTTGCAATTGGTGCAATTTACCGTGAAAGTTCATTCAGCGCTCTGCAACAGATTCAGCTCTACGGAAACTTCCGAGAATTGCAGAATGTCATTGGTGCCAACATGTAAAAACAAATTCTACGATAAAACTGTTCATTTTTTTTCATCTACATGGATCAGAAACCAATCTGGCTTTAGCTTCCCCACAAGAACGAAATTCAAGAATTAATTAATTCGAATGTTATCCCACAAGGAAAGCAACACTTTCGGACTAATTTACAATAACCTGATCAATGCAGATGAAAGTGGCAATATCTCGTAGTTATCTGGACTACATTAGGACTAGGCCTACCCGATTCTAATAATAAATATAAATAGCCTTGTTATAAAGTCTTTGAATGGCATTTAGCAATTGTGAGTACGATATATAGACATGCAGCTTTATGGAACAACAATCACTGGTTAAAG